TAATTTTGAAATCTTTTCAAACTTTTAGGGCTATCTGTTTTACAATAATTATGAATTTTGCGAATTTGACTTTTGATTAAAATTTACTTTATAGAATCAATTTAGCTCATTTAAGAGAAAATAAAATATTTTAATAATCGTGATTTTTTGATGTTCATTATCACTTACTTGTGTAATGTCTAAATGTTGTTTGTTTATAACTTTATGTTATTTTTCTTCAAATCATCAATGAATCAATTCTATATAAGGAAGTTTGTTGTTTATCATTTTGTTATTTTTAAATATGATTATTAAAATATAAAAAATTTGATAAAAGTAATCCTTGTTCTAAAATTAATAAACATTTTTTTGAAGGGCATTATTCATTAAAATGATTTTTTTCCTATAATTAGGTTAGCGTTTTCTTATATAATTAAATTATTCTTTAATAATAAACAATTTAAAGAAACATAGAAGAAAAACAAGAAAAGTAATATTATTTTTAACGAAAAAAACATATATGAATTAATAATTCTCATTCAAAATTAGATATGCATTTTTTATAAAGTAAAAATTATAGAATTATTTAATTCATATAAATAATCTCATTCATGAATAAATATTAAGAATGAATAAAGAATAATACTTTTCATTATTCTTATATCTTAATTTTTTTTTGAGAAAACCAATAAAAATTTTTTTAATTCATAATAATTCTTGCTCTTATTTAAATATAATCATTCAAAAATAAACTACAAATAATTATATTATAAAATTAGTAAAATGAGTGATTAATAATAGAAGAGTGAAAGCCAGGATAATTCTAGTTTACAATCATCTTAAGATGAACAATAATAAAAAACTATAAAGCCTGTTGAATTAATCACTCTCCCAAAGGTTTATCCACAGTCTGTAAATAATGAATAACCATCAACAAGAGAAGAAAAGAAAATTAAATAATATTTATAACGTATACAAGAATAAGAGCGTTAAGAGGAAGTATGTGTCTTTTAAATTTAGATTGATAAAGGTTGCCACTTAAAAAAAGAAGCGCTTTAAAGTAAGTGAAATTTAATATAATCAGGTAAACCCGCCATTAAAGTAGCAGGATAATTTAGATTTGGCAATAAATGCAGAAAATGGAGATGATGAAGGAAGGTAAGAGATATCTTTTGTCATAGTATTAGTTTATTAATACCTCCAACGATTTAACTAAATCCTTAAGTATTGTAAACAGAATAATAATCTGAAATCCAAACACAACAATTAAAGATGAGATTAAATCCTAAACTAAAAATAAAAGTAATTTTGTTTTGTAACAATAGGAAAAACACCATGTTTACATTTATTTAGCAAATTGTTAAGATGAAAGCTTAGAGGGTTTTTAGTAATAAACATCAAGAGCAACCTAATTTTATTCACCTTAAAAACAACTCAAAGACTAATCTAGTTTAAATTAAATAAACTAAGACATATTCTAAGAAACAACTATCATAATTAAAAATATAAAAAATCAATACTAATAATATATAGATTAAATTTCTCATGGATACTTAAGTGATTAAAAAGATTTCTTTAGCAAATATTTAGATAAGAAGTACATAGAATCTGTTCTAAGAGATAACAAAATGTAGATATAAAAGAAATAAATAAATGATAAACAACCATAAACTGGAAAATAGATCCCAAAAAAATATTGATACTCATAAAATACAATCAAGAATTTAAAAAATCTAGTTTCTCATTTTTATTTGTCCATTATAATTTCCTTCTTTCTCCTAATAAACAACTAACTATTTTATTTAATTTTTAGTTTGAACTCAAACATTTTTCATCTATTTTAGAAAATATGAATAAAAGTTCCTTAATTTCAGATATTTGATAAATTTTCCTAATTAATTCAAATGATTTGACAGATCTAATTAATATCTCTTTTAAAATATGAAGAGTCTCTTCAGTAGATAATAATTCAGGTTCCAATTAATCTATAATGTTAAATTGTTTTTTCTTTTCTGTATCATAATCACTTTATTTAATAAAAGATTTCATTTGAGTAGATTCTCCTGTAGCTGCAGAGCATCTTACAGTTGTAGTTAATTCTTCACTTGTTCTTTTAGTAATATTTATATCATTTTTTATTTGTTTATTTTCTTAAATGAGTTTTTAGTTTTATTGATTTAATGAGAAATTATCATTTTATAATTTTTGTATTTTCTATATGATAATGAATATATTTATACATTTTATAAGATTTCATATTATTTTAATTTTTCAGCAAAAACTCCTTTTAGATCTATAAATTCTTGTTAATAGCTTTTGTATTCATTTATCAATTAATTTAAATATTGATAATTAAGATTGGGTTATAAATGTTAACTAATTACTCTACTTTATTCTAGACTTCTACTTTTTGGAGACTATTTATATTCTTTCTAATTTGGTTCTTATAGGACTAATTTTTATTCCAATTAATTTATTTTAGCATTTAATTCATTATTTTTATCTAAAATTGTTCTATTCTACTCTAATAATTATTTGATTTCAATATTTTTAAATTAAATTTTCTTCTTTAATTTTTCTTAATCATCTTTCAATTCTTATATAGATTTTTCATTTTCTTTTTATGTTTATTATAATATTTTGATTTAAGAGAATAATTCAATTTTTTTTTTATCATTTTCTTTAATTTTTTATAATTATAATTTATAATTGCTCTATTCAATTAATTAAATAAAATACTTTTTGTTTTATGAAAGTGTCCTCCTTCAATTGTTGAATTTATTTTTCATAATCTTATATCTTTTGAAGTAATTCTTTAACTTAATTTTAAAATTATTATCGAATTTAATTGATATCATTATTGATTTCACATTTTTCTGATTAAACAGAGGTATAACCTTTAAATTTATCTGCATCTATGGATTTAATGAAATCTTTACTTTTAGAAGATTAAATTTATTATTTATATTGTTAATTTTCTTAGGCCAGATTATAATTAATTATCTTAATTTATTCGAATTCTTATATTAAATTCTTTTCTTATTCTTGGTATTCATTAAAAATTAATTAGATTTTTTTTTGCAATGCATTATTTTCTTCTAAGATTTAAGTTTTTTATACTTAAGATTATTAAATTTAATCGTTTAATTCTTTAATTTATTCATCTTATTATTCTAATGCTATATCAATTTATTGTCTTTATTTTGTTAATAATAGTGTTACAATTTCACGTATTTAAGCTGATAAATTATTTTCAGACTCTAGAATTGTTAATTAGTTGTCTAATGAACATTCTTATAAAATGTTTTTCAATTCTTGTTTTGCAGCAAAACACTATTAACAATGTGGATTGATTTCATAATCAGTTGATTTTTTAATATCAGATAGAATATTTTAGTCTTATTATTCATTTTTAAGATGAGTTGTTAGATTAGAGATTTGTAATTCTTAATTTTCAATAGTTCTTTCTTTAGAATGGAGAACTTTATATATTTTTTGTATTTCTGATTGTAAGGTTGATTCTGAAGATTGCAATGATGTGATTTGATTTTTTAATTGTGTAATAATAGAATCTTTTAATAGAATGGAATGATATAGGGATTAAATATTTTTGGAATCTAATTATTCATTTTTAGTAGTATTAACTTCTAAGTGAGAGAAATCATTTGTATTTTATTGCATGTCAATAAATTTATTTGATTGATTGTCTTCATTTGGTTTAATTAATTGTTTAAAGTTTAATGAGTTTTCATTAGAGAATTCTATGCTAATTCCAGCAACTTGTGGAAATATATTTTTGGCATTTCCAGGTGCTACATTATATTTAGACCAGTCGATTAATTTATTGATTTTTTTTGGTGTCATTGACTCCATAATAGAATCAGAAGCTTGCATTTATGGTTGAATTTGTTGTGGATTGGTATTAATAGGAAATTTGAATAATTGTTTATTGGGAGTTCCATCTGAGATATCACTGTAAGAAGTGATGGTAATATCAGGATTTTATGAGGATTAAGGTTTATTAGATTTTTGGAATAACAATTGATCTAAATCAGAGATGGCATTCATAAAGAGAGAGGGAAAATTCAAATAATAATTAATGTTTATATGAGTGATTCATTTTTTTTTTGATTTTAAAGAAGACACTCTTTTATGTAGGATTTATTCTGTAGAGACGTTTGACAATAAGTGATGATAATCTAAATCTTTTTATCCATTAGGTAATGTATTTTATCTATCAGCAAAGAAGTTATTTTAAGAAATGATTCTTTTCAATCCTTAGACTTTAGATTAAGCAGGACTTGGAATTGAACTAACTTATTATACATTAGTAATAGAAGATTATCTAGAATACATTAGAATAATAATTATACTAAGATTTAATTCGTTTTTGTAGAGATTAAAATTACTCTGGAGTGAGTTTCTATGATTTGTTGTTATTAATTTAGGGAGATGCTGGTTTAGATGGATGTTCTTTTGGTTCAGTGCTTTTTCTTTAAGGTTTGAATTTAGTATTTAATGCTAATTATTATTAAGTAACCATCATGAAATGTTATTTCAATATTTTTGCTTATTCTTATTTCATTTATTTTTGTTCATAGGAATCAAAGTAGAATGCTTTAAAGATTCTAATTTCTTATTGTAATCCTGATTTGCCTAATAACTTTTCTCTAGTTTCTAATTCTCCTTTCATAAGATCATTAGAATCATAATTGAATTTTAATTAATTAGGTTTGAATGGAGGTGCAATCTATTTCTACAAAATAGCAACTAAATCAACATCTTTAAACCAAGAATGAGTGAGTAATTCATTCAATCCTTTATGAGCTCCCAGTCTTTCTGATGGTTATTTACATAATAATCCTTATAATAAATTCTTAATATATCTTATATATTATATTTACTTTAATGTCAGATGATAAATTTAGTTTATCTGGGAATGTTAATTCTTCATTCAATATTGATTCATAGATTTCATCTGTATCTCTAGAATAATATGGAGGTAAACCAGTAACTAATTCATATAATAATGCTCCTAAACAATAATGATCGACTTAAACATTGTGTCCTACTTTTAATAACATCTCTGGAGCCATATATTCTGGTGATCCACAAAAACTATATGCATAATCATCTTCTGTCATATTTGGTTTAGATAATCCAAAATCTGCTATTCTTATATGACCATCTAAATCTATTAAAATATTCTCAGGTTTAATATCTCTATAGACAACTGATAATGAATGCAAATAAAACATAGCCAAACAAATTTCAGTAAAATAAAATCTTGCTTAATCTTCTGTCATTCTTTTGACTTGTCTTAATTACCAGAATAATTCTCCTCCACTACAGAATTCCAATACAAATACTATAAAATTCTTAGATTCAAATGCATATTCCAATTTTATAATAAATGGATGATCTAACACAGTCATGATATCTCTTTCATTCTATACAATACCTATTTATATTAATTATAAATACTACCTTATTTTTTATGCTACAATATAAACTCTTTGTCTATTAATTTCATTGCATAAAACCTTCCATTTGATTTCTTTTTTACCATATACACTCTTGAAAAACCCCCAACTCCAATACATTTTACAAAAATGAAATCTTTCAATGATATCTTGCTCTATTATGGAGTACCATAAAATGGTTATAAGTTCAATGTTTATCCACTAAAGATCTCTAAACTTTTGTTTGTCTATTACAAATAATAATCAACTGGTAGATTCTTTTCAACTGTATGGAATGATACTATTTCCAAATCAGAAGATTCATTCCCTGTACCACATGTTACTTTCCTTTCATCTGGCTAAGAACCTGTTGATGAATATTAATGTATTGAATGTTTCTTTACTTCCTATTTTAAGTATTACTCTAACCATCCTGTTGTTTTTGAACTTTCAATATTAAACTTTATTTGTTGATTCTCATTATTCACTATTACTGTTATTCCTGTACTTACAAAACTCATTTTACTTATTGGTTATGATTTTTATGGTTAACTTTAACCAGAATTCATTCGTTTACTATCCTTTTATTGTTAACTCATCATATCTGACATATTTGCCTTCTTATTTCCAGATGATAATTATTTCTGACTAGTCATTAATTTTAAAAGCTCCTGTTAATATTATTTTATATTATTATTATTCCCTTTCTTTTATCCCATGCTTTAATTACCTTTCTAATTTGGACTCAATGATTAACCTATTAATCCATTAGGGTTGAATGATTAACTCAATTTTTAACCACCTTTTGTTGTTGATCTAATTTATTATTCTAAACATACGTCTTCAATATGCTCTGTGATACTATCTCATGCAATTATTATTATTTTTAGAGCATTCTCTTATTTAAATATTATATATTATATATTATATTATTATTATATTCTTATTATATATTATTATTAATAATACTATTCACAATTTACCCATTACTGATTATAAAATTTCTATTCCATGCAAATCTCTTAAATTTTGTAAATTGCTTTAATCTTTTGTTAATTTAGCCAATAGAATTGCTGAATTCTTTCTAAAATTACCAGTCTTATCTTTTACAAAACTCAACAATCTTGGTATCATCTCATTAAAAAATGAACATGCATTCACCTCTCCATTTATTGGTGATAATAAATCAATTATTTAACCAATTACATTACAACTATTACAATATATTATTTCATTATCACTATGCAATTATTATTTTAATTATTCCAGTAATTCATATAACTTTGTTTACTTTTATCGTAATTGATCAATCACTATTCCAGATTTACTTGATAACCATTGTAGTAAACATCTTATTGATTAATTACTATATTATTTAATAAATTTTGTGATTATATAAATATTCTCTTCGTAATTAACTTTAGCTAATACTGTTAAGACTCTCTCGATCACTAAACCATATGATTAAGACTCTAAATATTCTATTAAAGTAGGAATCAATTAGTTTATTTTACTAACATACTCTATTTGAATTTAATTTATTTAAAATGTCAAATTCACCAATATGGCTATACCATTTTCTTTTAATTAATTATATTCATTATCCTTAAATTAAATACTTTTCAAAAATTTTAAATATGACTTAAAAAAATTCGGATTTAATTCCTTAGATAAGAAGTACAATCTATATTTATCTTCAGTCAACAAATTTGACAATAAATTACATAGTTGATTCATCATTCTAATATTAACTTATTTAATTTCGACTTTATCAAATAACTCTATAGATTTCATAATAATTTCATTAATATTCATCATAAACACTTATTTTAAAGGTGTATTCTATCCATAACATAAGTTACTACAAAAACTTAGAAATGTAGCAACTAAATCTTTTTCAGTTTTATACAATGTAATAATTTTATTAAACAATTCAGGATATAACCTTGTTTTAATTATTTCATGTTATTGAATAATAGATCTGGGTTTATCTTCATCCATTACATTTAAAACATCTAGATAATCTGCTATTGTATCATAAATTGCAGATTAAGATTTGTTCTCCACTTGTTATAACAATTACTTTATTTTTTCATAAATAACTTCAATTCCATTGTACTATTAAAGAAATTATTCCTAATACAACAAACTCTTATCTTGATAAACTTATAAAATCAAAGCAGGTAAACTTGCCAAAATCTAATTGTAAATAAAATAATTACATTTTATTAATCATGCAGTTTCTCATCATTTTTAGATATTATTTTTAAAAGTTATTTTAGACCATTTTTTTCATAAAAATAGGCAGTGGCTTCATTTGAATCAACTTTTAATACCTTAAATAATTATAAAAGTTCTATTTCCTCTTCTCCAACAAATTTATCAATTAATTATTTAAAAGTGAGATTTTCATCAATAAATGTTTTTTTATCTTTTGAATGATCAGAATTATTATTATTTTCTTTTTATTCTTAAATTCCTTATTTTTTATCTTCTTCATCCTTTTCATTCTATTTTAACCTTTTATAATGATCTATTTTTGCTTCGATCTCTTTCTTAAGATTTTGAACCCATTTATCATTAGGTATTAATTCTTCTGCTTAATTAATATCATTGAGTGCTTCTAACAATCTATCTCTATTATAATAAGCCAATGCTCTTCTTGCAAATGCTTTACAACAACTATCTCTACTTTATGTGTAACCATTTTCAAAACATTCAGCATACTCTATAACTTTTGTACAATCATTAATTGCTTTTTTATTTTTGTTTGATTTTATATATGTAATAGCTCTATTTAACCATAATGTCTTATTATCTTTAACTAATTCAAGAGCTTAAGAATATTTCCAAGCTGCTTAATCATAATCCCCTTTACTATAATACTCATTTCCTTTTTTCTTTAATTCTTCTGCCTTTTTCATATCTTCCTCTTTCTTTTTCTTTCTCTATTCCATATCTAATTCTAAAGCTTTAAAATTTGGATCATCCTTAGGAACTATTGGCTCAGATTCTATCTCCTCTTCTGAACTTGTATAATATTCCCATTTTTTATGTGTAAATGTACTCTTTTTCCATAAGATTTTCTCTGTCTTCTCCATTAATTCAAACTTCTATTTCTTTTATTGTTTTCTATTCTTATCTTCTTTATATTTTTCTACTTTATCTAATAATTAGTTATAGCGTTCTAGATTATTCTATTCATTTTACATTCTTATGTTAAAGTCTCTCTTTTGCACCAATAACACTTATCTGTTAATCTAACATATTCTAAATAACAGTATTTGCAAAAACTAGCATAATCTTTATTTTATCCTTTTCCTTTCCTCCCTTTTCGTTCTTCTTCCTCTTTCTAAATCTATTACTATTTTCTAGCGTCTTCTTTCTTTTTCTCTTATTCTAATCTTTTTTATCTTATCTTCATTATTTCTTCATCATCATCCTTTGTATTTGTATTTGCCTTTCAATTTCATATTTTTAACTATACCTATTCATTTGATAATTTCTTTATTTTCTCATGCACTAATTCCACTTCTGCAAGCCATGCTTCCATTTCTTCAGGATCTAGCTAACTTTCAAACATTGGTGGTTACATTATATTTATATTTATTATTAAAAATTCACAATATTTCTTTAAAACAAAAATACAAACATATTAAAAATCTGATTAAATATATAAACTATTCAATCAATCAACTATGAATAGTTACGAATAAAAGTATTAGAGATAAAACATTTAATTCTGCAATTATAATTATTTTTATTTTATTTACAATTTATATATTTTATTATTTCTCCTTTTACAAACCATCAAGATTTTATTATAATATTTTTAGTACTATTCTTAACTTTAGTTTTCAAATTGCAATTATTATTTATAAAATTATTCCAACAAAAATACACATTCAAGATAACACATTGCAAATTCTTAAATATATTACAATTTATAACCAAAGATATTTTCATTTAATCTAGGTTTTTATTTTCAATATTCAATATAACATTAAATATAAATTATTCAAAATGATCATTTTTAATTTTGTTATACGTGGCAATTCTTCAATATTCTATTCATCAGTTTTAAGCGTGTATTTTCTTTTCAACTTTATTTTGAACATTTTTCAGAAAAAACTAATTTATATTAAACAAAATTTCATTCTTATCTTAGATTGAAAACAAAAATATCAAACTTGCAAGATTTTTTAATTTATCAAAAATTAATAAAGATTAATTTACTTCATTAATTTAGATAAAAAATATTTATTTTTTCTCTTGTCTTTTATTTAGTTTTGAAAAACTATATTATTTGATTTTTGTAATGATTAATAAAATAAAATAGGATTTGAAAAATTTAATAATTTTTCTATTTAATGAATTATTTGAATGTGATTTGTGAATAAATCCATTGTTTAATAATCCTATTTTTTTTGTTGATTAATTATTTTTGAATTTATGAATAAGAAAATAATAATTTAATGGTTAAACAGTAATTATTAAAAATTCTCTATTTAAAAATTTTTTCATATTTAAGAAAAATTATGGTTCAAAGTAATTATCAAAACTTTCTACATGCTAAACTTTATTAATTTTATTTTTTCATAGATTATATTGACAAAAATATTCCTCTACAGTGTATTGAATTATTTATTTCAATGGTCCGTAAATCATGGAAATTATTTGAATTGAGGGTGGGCTTTTTATGGCAATTAACTGAAATCTTTAAGATTACTTAACTTATATAATATATATTTTAATATTTAAAAGCCTCATTATTAGTTTTTCACCTTTTAAATCATAAATAATAGACTCAATATATATATATAAGTCTTATATATTCTTTATTATGCACATTAAGATTAAATTGTTGCTCTTATTCTGATACCTTATTTTTTTTTGATAGTGAGATAAAAAAGTGAATTTCATAAATATTTCATTAAAATTATCTAATTAACTATAATTAATAACTTTTACAACTAAATTTAAAGAATTATAAGAGATTAGATATTCTACCCTTACATTATAAACTCTGGAATTAAGCAAAATTTAAATATGCAAGGAGTTGTACACTAGCATGGCTAATTATATAAATCTCATTTATTTATTTTTTATAATCCTAATTTAATATATAATTATTGAATTAGTTTCAGTTTAATTAGATAAAAATTTTTAATTTTGGAATTTTCTCGAATATAAATAATTTCTTTTGAATTCTATCCTTTATAAAATTATTTAATAAAAAAGAACCTTTACAAATTTCGAACCTAGGCTTTTATAATCTTTTGATACTCTCTGAACACCCTTTTCAGAGTGACAGAAGAAAGAGTTTTGATTTTAACGAATTGAAAATTTTTTCAAGGGCTTTATTAAATATTATATCATTGGTGATGGCAATAAACTTCTTTTTCTTAAATTGAAAGAATTTTATTAATAATTGTCATCAAAAAAGTATATTTATTCTAAAATAGATTTGCATGAATATAAAAAAAAAAATTGGATTAGTTCAGAAGAAAAGGAAGAAATTTTAAAGTTAACTAATTTTGATACAGGAATATATTTTTTTAAATATAAATAAATGCTAAATATATTCTCAAAACGAAATTTTTTTCAAATATTTGAATTATTTCAATAAGTACTCAATCTTTAACAAAAAACTTACATCAAGTTATTAAAATTTTTTACAAGAATTCGTCAAAAAAGATATATCACCATAAATCAAATTAAAACTAAATATTTAATAGATGGATCAGTACTTATTGAAAGCTGAAGTTTAATAAAATATTTTATCAATAATTGTGGTAAAAATATTTATAATTTCCTAAAAGTAATTTATTTCTGATTATATTTAATTATTACAGATTCTATGTTCTTTAAATTTGAGGATTCAGAGATATCTCAATAGAGAAAACTCAAGCTTAAATCCTTTTCTCATCATATTCTTGTTTTTTATTCAAGCTAATGGTTTTTTGTAATATAGATATTTTATAAAACAAATAATTATCTATTTTATATTATCTGTCATTTTCAAAAGAAAAAGCCCCAGTTTTTCAGTGATGATTTCAGACGAGAATTAAGAAAATTAAAGAATGATGGTTAATTTAGAATTTAAACAAACTATTTTTAGATTTCCTTTTAATATTCAAAATTTGAGCCTATGTTGCTCTATATATAATTTAGTAAAAATCTTCTAGTCATTAACTTTGAGTCTAAAAGTTTATAAACAGGAAATCTTATTTTCATATCAAGCTTAATTGTTATCGTTTTCACACCAGGCATCATTTACTAATCACATAATTTTATAAATGAATTAATAAACTTAATTAAAAAAAATATTTAAATCACATTAAAAATATGCTCAATGATGTGATGCAATTACAATAAAAAAAAAAATTTATTCTTTACTTCTTTAAATCTAAGATTCTAGCCGATAATTATTTAACTTACTCATAAAAAACATGCAAATAAAGTATTTGCTTTTAATAGCACTTTTGCTTGCAGTAACTAATCAAGTCACAGTGACAAAAACAGATTAGTGTGATGACTGCACTTAATTCAAATCTTCTGCTGATTGCAAATCATTTGGATGCACTTGGACAGATAAAACAGCAACTACCGCAGGATCATGCGCTAAAACAACAACACCACCTCCAGTTGCCTTTACTCCATATTGTTAAACTATAGAAACAGCAAATTGTTCTAAGACTTTTGGATGCGCTTTGGTTGAAGGAAAATGTACACATTTTACAGGATGTTCAGCTTATGTCAAGACTACACATAAAGATTGTTAAGATATATCTTATATGTGCATAACTAATGGAGTTACATGTGCTCCTGCACTTGAGTGTGTTGCTTATACTAAAGAATAATGTGAGGCAACTCCAAGTTTAAAAAGTCCATTCAAGTGTAAACTTGATGGAGAAACATGTAGAGACTATAAATGTAGTGAAGCTGATACTTCACTTACTACTAATGCAGCATGTAGTGGTTGGTTAGCTGGTTGTAGAACAACCGGTGCAGGATGTATTGATATAATACCACCATGTGCTAGTTATTAAGGAACTTCAGAAACATGCCCAAAAATGAGAGGAACAGATGGAAATTGTGAATTTAATCCTGATGGTAATAATTGTAGAGTTCGATTATGTACAGGTGCTGATGCTTCACTTAATACTAATGAAGCTTGTGCTACATACTAAACTGGATGTGTAACAACAGGAAAAGGATGTGTTGCAACTTTAGGTTCTTGCTCATCTTATGATGGAAATGCTTCAACTTGTATTGGATATATTGGTACTGACGGAGAATGTGCTGGTGATGCTACTGGCACTAAATGTAGAGCTAGAAAATGCGATGAAAAGACAGCAACTACTGATGAAGAATGCAATAAATGGAAGCCAGGATGTAAATCAAATGGAAGATCATGTGTTGATGCATTAGGTCTATGTAATACATATGATGGAACAATCACTACTTGTGCTGGCTTGAAAGGAACAGATGGAAACTGTAAAGGAACTTCAACAACTACTGCCAAATGTTCAGTGAAAGATTGTGCAGCTGATAGCAATGCAACTTTTACAACTTAAGCTTAATGTACAGCAATTCAAAGTTTCTGTAAAACAACAGGAAAAGGTTGTGTGGCTACATTATAAAATTGTTCATCTTATACTTATACAGATGATGGTACATCTTGCAATTCATTATATGGATTAGATGGAAGATGCAAAAAAGCAGCATCTGGTAATAATTGTGCAGCAAGAGTATGTACAGAAGCTCCCACTTCATCTACAACAAATAAATAATGTGATGAATACAAGAGTGATTGTGTCACTACTGGAGCAGGATGTGTAGCAAGAACTGTTTGTTAAGATACAGTTAAATAGATTACATGTGAAGGAACAACAAATTGTGGATGGAATTCAATCTGTGTTTCTAAAACAAGTTGTGGATAATTACTCACAAAATCAATATGTGAAAGTGTTAAGATTAATAATAAACCATGTAAATGGGAATCAAATAGTTGTAGAAATGCTAGATGTGATGATTTCACTGCCACTGATGATAACACTTGTAATACACTTCTTGATGGTTGTGTTACTAATGGAACAAAATGTGTTGATGGTACTAATTGTCCAGCCTAATTCAAGGGATCATAATAAACTTGTTAAGCATTTAAAGCAAAATGCACAAATGATAATGGTGCAGCAGAAACAGCAGCTTGTAAAGCAAGAACTTGTGATGATTCATATCTCACTTATGATAATGATACAGATTGTGGTAACTATTTAACTGGATGTGTGACAAAAGGATCAGGTTGTATCATCGATACAGCAATTTGTTCAAGTTATAGTGGAACTCCAGAATAATGTGATAAATTTAAAGGAAATAAAACAAATAGATGTTGGAATACAAGTCCTACTACTGGTAATTGTGTTGATAAATTATGTACCTAAGCTACTGGCATGGCAGACGACACAGCTTGTGAAAGCTTTTTATCAGGATGTTTATATGATGGAAATGGAAGTTGTGTAGATAAATCTGCATCATGTTTATCTTACACAGGTGATGCCACTACTTGCTTGAATTTCAAAGGAAATAATGGAGCTAATCCTTGTTTTGTTGGATCAGGCGGCAGATGTAAATCTAAAGCTTGCACTGATGATTCAACCAGTACAAGTGATGGTGATTGTGATACATTTTTAACTGGATGCGTAACTGATGGATTAGGATGTATTGCTAAAACAGCTCCATGTATATCATATTCAGGAACAACTGAAAAATGCTTAACATTCACAGGAAATTCATCTGCTGATAAATGTACAAGATTAGAAGCTTGTGTTTCAAAGAGTATTACATGTACTTCAAAAACTGGAGTAGCAACTAATGCTGATTGTTTATAATATCATAATGATTGTAGACTTAAATTTGGAGACACTTCATGTTTACAACATTAAAATAGTTGCACAAGTTATGCCTTGTCTGGTTCTGTTGATGCTGATAAACAAACTTATTGCAATTCGATTACAACATCAGGAGGAGCATTTTGTGGTTATAGTACAGCAGTTACAGGAACATGTTCAGCCAGAGCATGCAATTTATGGGTTAGTACATTGACTGGTATTTCATGTGTTGATTATGCTGGAACTGCCTCCTGTAGGTTAAATGGTACTCATTGCTATGCTGCCAATGTATGTACTTCATATGTAATTCCAACTGCTTTTACAACTGCAACTGAAAAACTCACATTTTGTAATGCAATGTTAGACAATACAGCAACACCTAAAGCATGCACTTACGATTCAGTTGTCAGCACTGTTAACTGTTCAAATATTGACTCATGTGAAGAAATTATTAATCCAACAAGTGCAGCAAGCTGTAATTTATATTTTAATGATCGAACATGTCAATTTGCTGGTGGAAAATGCATTACTACCAAAACAGCATGTACTGGTTATTCATTAACAGGAATCACTACAACTAATGCTGCTGCTTATTGTACAGCTTTGAGATAATTAAATACATCAGTTGTAACTTAATGTAAATATGCTGTGGCAACTACTACTAATTGTGTTGCTAAGACATGTGCAGATATCTCATCTCCAACATCCTAAGCATCTTGTGATAATGGTGGTGTTCCAAATTGTAAATACTATTAAGGAGCCTGTTATGCTATAGTTGCATGTACAGCTTATACTTTCCCAGCTTCAGCTGATAATGCTACTAAGAAGCAAAACTATTGTTAGAATATGTATGAAAGTGGATCAACTGATTATTGTTCATATAATGCAGCTGGTAATAGTGGAGCTGGTGCTTGTGCTGCTACAAAAGCAGCTTGCACAGACTATACTGGTTTAACTGCTGCAGCAGCTGCAGGTGATGCCAACGATATTGCAAATAAACTAACATGTTCTAAACTTAGAATCACAAGTGGTAGTGCTTGTGCTTATATTTAAAGTGAAGCAGCCAATACCACATGTCATGCTCCTGCTGATGCAGCTGCTTAGTGTACAGTTGTAACATCTGATATAACTGCTGATGCTGATTGTGATTTAAGAACAACAGTAGGATTTTGTAAGAAAGATGGTAGTAATCCAGGATGTGCAGCAAGAAGTGCATGTACTGCAGTTACTCCAACAGGAAGTGATGATGAGGCTAAAAATACATTTTGTTAGGCAAATTATGGTCCAGATGGACTTTATTGTTAATTTGTCACTGGTGCTTCAGCCTGTGCAGTTGCTCCAGATACATGTGCTAATTGGAGTACTCTTCCAGCTTCAGGAAAATTAGCATTCTGTTAAGCAAGAATTGCAAAAGATGGAACAAAATGTTCTTGGAGTCCCGAAGCAACTGCTTGTAGAGATTATAATTGTGATGATGCAATAAATCCATCATCTTAAGCTGATTGTGATGCCATTAGCGCAGGATGCAAATATTCACCTTAAAATAGAATTTGTTATACTCCAGCCACACCATGCACTGCTTATAAACTTCCTATAGCATTTACAACTTAAGCCGAAAAATAATCATACTGTAATAATATGACCACATCTGATGGTGCTCCTCTATTATGTACTTATGTAACAGGAGCTGCATGTGCAGTTTACGACGCTTGTGCAAGTTATACTGTTTCAGGATTGGCAGATTTTGATACGAAATTTTCTACTTGTTAAAATTTGCTTGCAAATAATGGTCCATGCACATACTTTTCAGGAAATACCTGTGTAGCAGTGGCTGGTTGTGATACATATACAGGTGGAACTGCTGGTACCATAGTAGCTGATTGTGCTAAATAAAAGGATGGATCTGGAAAATTATGCTTTGGAGCTAGTGCTGCTTGTATTGCAGCCACATGTGCAGATGTAACAGGAGCAACTAGTATCGCTGATTGTAATAAATACGTTACTGGATGTGTTTATTATAATAATAAATGTTATGCTGCCTCAAGTACTTGTGCTTATACTACTGATGGAAGTACTGCAATTTCATTCTGTAATGGAATCAAGAATACAAATGGTGACTTTTGTACAGCTGATGCTAATACAGATGCTACTTGCAGATAGAGAGCTTGTACTGATTCAGCAACTGTTAGTTTCTAAACTCATTTAGAATGCAAGACTTATTATTCATTATGTAAATCAGATGGTTAAGGATGTATTGATTCATCAGTTACATGCGGTACTTAAACTGGATACCTTGATTTTTGTAATTGGGCATTTGATACAGACAATAAATCAACTTGTGCTAAAGGAACTCTAGCAACAACCGATGCTAGTTGCACAAAATTAACTTGTGAAATGAATGTTACAGCAACTACTGATTCTGAATGTTAATCATTCCATTCTGATTGTTTAACTAAAGGTAATGGTTGCATTCATAAAACAGAAGCATGTTCATCATACTATGGTACAAAGGAATAATGTTAATCATTCACAGGAAATAGCAAGAAATGCTTTGGAGATTCAGCTACTACTAAGGTTGCATGCAGAGATAGATAATGTAGTGATTTACCAACAGCTACTAATGATAGTGATTGTGAAAACTTCCTTACTGGATGTCTCTTCAATGGAGTTGGATGTGTAAGCAAATCTGCTGCTTGTAGTTCATATAAGGGAACTTAGGATACATGTAAAGGATTTAAGGGAAATAATGGAAATAAACTTTGTTGGGGAACTAGTGCTACAGTTGTTAATAGTTGCACAGAGAGAAAATGTTCAGATTTAGCTGGTACAACAGACAAAGCATGTTAAGACTTCTTACCCCCAATTGCTCCATCAACTGCTTAATTATGTATTACAAATGGTACAGCTTGTGTAGATATTGGAAAACCATGTTCATTCTTTAAGGGAAATGATGAAACATGTGGATTATTTACAGCTACAGATGGACCATGTAAAGCTAGTGCAGTTTCGGCTGCAGCAGTTGTCTGTACTCCTAGAGTATGTTATGAAGCTCCAAATACATTTACAACTGATTAACAATGTTCAAATTATTATCCAGGTTGTAAAACTACAGGAAGAGGTTGCAAGAGTTCTATTTCATGTGGTGATTATACCTCTTCAACTTCATGTACTGCAAATACATCATGCTAATGGGCAGGATAATGCAGAGCCTTAACAACTACATGTGGTTCATTAACTGCTTTAGGTTAAACAGTTTGTGTGAATACTCCATTATAAAATGCAAAGAGATGTGCATGGTTTATTGGTGCCAATAATACTAGTGGATGCAGAGATTTCACATGTGCTGATTATGATGGAACCATCACTACTCATAAAGATTGCTATGATAAAGATACCTCATGTACTACAACTGGAGCTGGATGTGTGACAATTGGTACATGCTCAACTTATAGATCAAAATCTGTTTGTGAAAATGCTAATACAACTGAAACATCTTTAAGATGCACATGGAATTCAACAACTGCAGCTTGTAGATAAAGATAATGTGCTGATGGATAATTTGCAACTGATGACGTCTGTAATACATTCCTAGCTGGATGTAAAACTTCAGGAACTGCTTGTGTTGGTCCAAACTTTGGATGTGATGTATTTTCTGGTAATCCTAAACTTTGCTAAAAGAATAGTGCTGGAAATCCATGCTTATATGTTAATGGAGTATGCTACGACTATGATAATTGTACTGATATTAGTAATCCATCCTTCAATTTCTGTTAAGCCTTCTCTACTCAATGTGTTCCAACTCTTACAACTTGTAGAGCTATAACTCTATGTGATAAATATGAAGATATTAACTCATGTTTGATTGGTATCAATAATACTAAATGTGGATGGTTACCAGAAGGAAAATGCAAGGAATTTACAACTTGTGGTGATGCTGTAGGTGCTTCTTTAGCAGCATGTACTTCTTGGGGATCAAAATGCGTTTCAGATGGAACTAAATGTATTGATTAAGGAACTTGCTCTTCTTATTTGACAACAGCAGCTTGTGATAATGCTGGTACTGATGGATTTTGTTAATGGTCTGGAACATCATGTAGATTAAGAGAATGTACAGATAAAGTCGCTACTAGTGATGCTGAATGTTTAGCTTATACTGTTAAGAGTGGACTTTGTACAACTGATGGAACTAAATGTGTTGCCAGAGCTACTTGTGCTTCTTATTAAAGTGAAGCTGCTTGTACCATAGGTGCAGATGGAATACCATGTGTATTCGATTTCCCAGTTGGACAAACTACTGGAACTAAATCATGCAGATCTAAAGAATGCTCAGATATCAAAGGAACTACTAATGATGCTTGTGTTGGTTAAATTCCAAATAAAGCATGTGTTTCTAATGGAGTTACTTGTGTCAAATAAGATGCATGTGCTAACTATAAAAATAAATTATCATGCAAAGCAGGAGGCTCAGATGGTAAATGTGCATTCACTCCAGCACCAACAGTTACTGATCCTAATAATGGAACATGCTAATTGTTCAAATCTTGTGAAAATGCGAATACTGATTAAGATGCTTGTAACAGTAAACCAAAGGCATGCAAATGGACATCCACAACAACTGGAACAACTACCACAACTAAGTGTTCAGTGATGGATTGCCCAGGAGTTGCAACTGGTACTACTTGCAATCCAATCCCAAGTTTCGATGGTTCTACTAATACTGTTTGTGTTTTAGCCAATAATGTTTGTACAGCTGGAGATCCATCAACTATTTCATAAGATTAATGTTATAGATCTACAGTTTATTCCTATACTTGGAATGAAGCTACAAACAAATGTGTTGGATGTAAATCTTCTAGTCAAAATAATAATAATAATAACACAACTAATACAAACACTACCAATAATGGTACAAATACTGATGATAATGGATATATCTTGGGTGTCACTATCCCATTGATTATTCTAGGAGTGTTTGCTTGATTTTGATTTAAAATTTATATAGGGAAAATTATTACAAATTTATTAAAATCTTTAAACTTTATAAAATATCATTTACTTATATTTAAAGTTCATTTAAATAGAATTAAAATATTCTTGAAAATGATATTTTTCAAAATAATTCATTGATCCAACTTGATCATACAGTTATGGATTTATGTTTTTATATAAATATTTTTATTAAGATAAATAATGTATTTTTCTAATCATTTATTTGCAATAAATTATAAAAATGAAATAGAGAGATTTAATACATCATACACTTTATTTTAATACGCATCTATGTTTCAAAATTATAGTTTATGATTTTTATAATTAAGATAATTGGTTTTTTATCTATCAAAATTCTTGATCATTTAATTAATGCTTTTTAGGTAAATTGATTTTATTGTTATTTGAATTATGATATCGATAAATGTTTAGCTTAAAATTTATCGATTTATCAAATTTAGTAAACCTTTTCGCTTTATTATTTAAAAAACTTCAATTAGATTGAAGTTGTCTCAATCTCTCTATTTCAAAAGATTTTGAAATTCAGAATAAAATATATATATGCCACTTTTAAAACATATTTTCAAATTAATTATATTAATAATAAAATCTTTTATAGTAATTCAATTTTTTTATTTTTCAATTGAGGAACATTCAAATTCAATTAATGGTATAACTAAAGCAACTCAATAAAAATTCCATCATAATGTCATAAAATTACCATATAAGAATTTATAAAATTTAAAAAATAATAAATCACGATTACAAACTATAAAAATTGTAATCTAAATACATTTAAATAGATATATGGATAATTAAACTTAAAATTGGAAAGCTGTCTATTTGAAAAATATCACTAGAAAGATTAAAAGTTCTAATTTGATGAATTAATGAAGTTTCCCAATTTAATAACATATTAGATTTTTATTATTCTCATTATATATTCGACTAAAATATTACAACAATTAATTAATTATTAAAATGAATTATAAAATAATCTGGTTTATTATTTTTCTGGAAAGTCAAAGTTATATAGTCTATGATGATGGCTGGTTTAGGTATCAATCTCATCTAGATTCTTTTCACTTTGTTAAAACCATTGAATTTTCAGAACCCTTTCGAAATACTCCCCAGATATTTTTTACTTTATCAGGAATTTGGATGTAGACTGGCGGAAATGAATACTAATTTTCTTGTGAAGCACTAAATACTAAAAGTTAATAATTTATTAAAATTAGGTTTTACAGCTAGAATTAAATCAGTTATGAATAAAAACGTAGCTGTTTATTTTTATTATTAAGCATATGACGATATGCGTATTGAAATAATTAATGTTTTTAATTTGAGCTAACCAAAAGGAAATACTTTTCCTCATAAAAATGCTAATGCATAAAGTGCTATTTTAAGCCTTTTAAGTTTCGGATGCACTGGACCTATAGACTTTAAAATAGCTGTAAGTATTACAATTATTTAGATTTCAAAAGTTTCAAAAGATTCTATAACAGTTGATCTTATCAATGATGTGATAGGAAAAATTGAAAATCTAAAATAAATCGGATTTTAAATTCTTATTGGGATTGAAGAAGTAATTAAGGGTGCTGAAATAAAATTTTCTCATTAGCCTGATATGTTGTTTAATGCTTTTGATTTTAATAGTATTCCCGGAAATTACTATGCATTTACTCTTACTTATTAAGGATTGATATATGACCCTGCTTATCTTCTATCATAACATAAAAAAATTGTTTCTTTCCATCCAAATAAAACTTTTGATTACACAATATATATTGCAGGTATTATATAAAAATAACCACAGAGGGAGCTTTTGCTCCATGTACTAGTCTTTAGGTATCTTTAATAAAATATTTCAAAACTATCTTTACTCCATTAAGATTATAATCAGCAATAGTTACCTAAAATAGGGATCTAATATTTCTAAATAATCCACAAATATATATTAAAATTGAAATTCTGAATAAAATTATCACTTAACCTCAAATATATAAGACATTGATAGATAAATCTATTAAAACATTTAGTATTTAAATTGAAATAAATTGCAAAAATATTGTATAAATAAAAAGCCTCTTTCGTAATTGTCAAAATTGTTTATTTTAGTAGAATTATCATTCTAATCATTATTGTAGTTCCAATTTAACTTTATTAACTTTTAACTTTAAATTGACATAATCAATTTTGTCATATTAATAATTAATATTTATTCTTGAGCAATCAAGATTCACTTTAAAATAAGTACTAACAAATTATGTAGAAACAGAAGTTGAATTAATTGATATTATCTTAATTTGATTGATAAAGATAAAATAAAATAATATGGATTTGTTATTCATTATTTTTTCAATTATTCAAGAATTAATTTCTATATAAACTGAAAATACTTGTTAAAAACATTTATATTATAATATATGTTTCTTACACCTATTTTTTATCCTTTAATATATTAGGAAAATAAAAAATTATCTTCACCAACACATATATATTTTAATCATTTTGTTTTTGCCAATATTAATTCCTTAATAAATGTATTGGGTAAATAAAACTTCAAAACTTTTTTATTTCACAAATTGATGATAAATATTTTTAAATTAATCAAAAACAATAATTATTTCAAGTGGTCAGAGTTGTTGTATTTAATCCAATGACATTAACATTTAATTGGTTTATAAAAGTAAAGTTTTTATAGCTTTACAAGAGGTTTTGTGTTTTTGATGAAATAAATTTATTTATTCACCAATAAAAATTTTCACTTGATGGGAATAAATTGGTAACATTCACAAATATAAAAAAATTCTATTGATCCAACAAATTTTTTTATTATTACTAATAATTAATATAAATTTATATTTAAAATTGATTTAATAATCATAAAGAACTTAATTTAAGTAAATTTTTTATAACAATTTTAAAAATATTTTATAAATTTTATTAATTATATTATTAATTGTTTTTTAAACTTGTAAATTTGATAAAATATTTAACAGCCATCCTTCTCTAAAAAGGTTATCAATTTGTTATTTAATTATTTTTTTTTAATAGGTAATTATAAAAATGAAACTGTCGATTGAAATTCAACTTGATTACTTTCCCAATAAATAAGGGCCACCACTTAAGAAGTATCAATTATTTGATGGGCAATTTATCTAATTTATCAAATAGGGTAATGTAAAATAATTTGATCAATCTATCTCTACTCTACTAGAAGTCCAAATGGCCTGAGTTGAATTAATTAGTAAATAAATTCATATAAATTCATAGAAACAGAAAAAATCCAAATAATCATTCTATATTTATTGTACAAAAAACTTGATATATATATTTAACCTGTTGTTTTATATGTATCAAAAAATCAATTTTTTAAGATTATATCAAATTTAGAAATATTATAAAATATTATAATATAACTTAAGCTAATAATTAATATTATTTCGTATATCTACTCTTAGAAGTTTATGAAAATTAAGTTAAAACTTATAGAATTAATATCAAGAATTATAAACAGATTATTTCTATTGATACTAAATAAATCTAACATCAATGATTCATAATATGAGATGTGATTATTACTCTATAAATTTGCTTCCACTATGCTCTATTTAATAAAATTGTAAAAAAAATTCAGAAAGCAAAATAGATTTAAATTTTTAATATATTTTATTTTTTCGTTATATTGATAGTAATTAAGAGAAACCTCTATATAGTTTGAGAAGAAATTAATATTTTTCATTTGTTTCCATTTTAATAATTAATTATTAAATTATTAATTAATAATAAATGAGATTTAAGAAGTATATCGAAAAAGATAAAAGATATCTTCCAATTAAAAAAATAGAAATAAGTGAGAAATTTAATTAAAAAATAATTCAAAGCTAGTAAGTATAACACAGAGAAGATAATTAATTATGCTTATAAGGTTAAAGAGAACTATCTTTCCAGAGTATGTAAATTTAGCTTATAGCATTTATATTATAATTAAAAATATATATATTATTTCATTTTGATTGATAAGTTTGAACTAAAGATTATAAGTAAATAAATGTATTTGATCTACAAATAATTAATAAATTGATAATGAGTCTCTTATTAAACTTGAAATATTATTTGAAAAAATAAAATTTTAATAATGAAAAGACATAGCACAGGAAAAAAATTTCACAAAATAAAGGGATTGAAAAAAGCAGATCCAAAGGCAATAATTCCTGAGACTCCAAAAGAAATAAAAGATTTTATTGAAGATCTAACATTTAAAGGGTCATCAATATAAAAAGTGAAATATGCATACTTTTAAACAAGAAATGGTTTGAAATATCCAGGTTTAATAGGTAATTGATATAATTATAATAGCTACTGAGGCTATTGTACCAAATGACACACTTGTAACATTACCAAGAGAAACATTACTTACTACGTATTAAGCATTTGAATCACCATTGAAACCTATGTTTTTAGAATACCCATAGTTTTTTAGCCCTTAATTACATCCAACATGGGAAAATAATTAAATTCTTGCATTTTTACTTTATGAATATCAAAAAGGAAAGGAATCAAATTGGTATCACATGATTGTGAATTTTCCTAAGGATGTTGATTATGCTGTATATTGGAATTCAGATGATTTAGAATTGTTAGATGATTAAAAAATGATTAAATAAGCAAGAAAAAAGTATATTGAACTTTTGGTGAGTTTCTAAACTCTTAGATATATCGCAGATAAATTTCCAAATCTTTATAAACCAGGAATAGTAACTATAGAAAATGCTATATGGCTTCATACAAGTATTGTTACTAGATGTTTTGGAGGTTAAGGATTAAAATATGTCACTATGGTACCATTTTGTGAATTATTTAATCATGAAAATAGTGATGTTTGTTATGATCTTTAATAATAAGATAATAGTACAAGATATAATTATGAATTTATGACAAAAAAATTAAATAAAGAAAAGTAAGATGATGATGAATTATCTATAACATCATCAGAAAACTCTTAATTTTCAGAAGATGATTTAAGTGATTCTGAATTTGTATAAGATGATTATAATTATTATCAAGAATTTGATTTTGATGAATATAGTGAATAAGCTATCTAAAATTCTAAAAATAATTTGAAATTTAAAACTAATAATAATCAAAAATAAAATGATTTATTATTAAAAATGAATAAAGAATTCAATATTAAATTGAATATTTAAAAAGATATTTTTTTATTGGCTGTTGATTGTAAAGCATTTTTATTTTAAAATATTGATTTTGGAGATAATATATCAATATTCTTTATAGCATAAATATTTAATGAATTAGACACATCATTTTAAAACTTTATCTATGAAGAAAAATCTTCATATCAAATTAGAGAATATATCAACCAAATTTAAAAGGCTTGTACTTCATATAAGAATTATTGGTATCATTTTAATAATGAAATTCTGAGAAGACCAATTTAATAAAAATACAATTATTTTGCTTAAAAAATAGGTAAAAGACCAACTAGAAATATACATAGTATGGAATAAATATTAAAATAACCTGTTGATCGTAATTGTGATTATTATACACCTTTTTATTAGAAAGAGCATTTCAAAAATCTATTAATGAGAACTAGAGATCCATTTGAAAAAGGATCTTAAGTATATTTTTGTTATACCAGATTGTCAAATAAAATGATGCTTCTCAAATATGGAATGGCTCTGGAATATAATAAATATGATAGTACATTTTTAAGAGTTGAATTTTTAAAATATCTCGAAAAAAGTAAAGTAGGAACATGGATTGTTCATAAATTTAAACTAAGTAAATTAAAAAGATTCAAATTAAAGCATACTATTCCACCTTATGAATTAATTGTTTTTTGTAAATTAGTTAATTGGTATATTATATTTAATTCTATTATATAGGACTTTTAATATTGATACTGTGGAAACAATATTTAAAATCTAAGATTTATAATTAGAAAGAAAAGCTCTTGTTTTAGCCCTTAAACTTTTAGAAGAATAGAATTCTAAATTTAAGGATAAAATAGAAGATCTTGAGTTATTATTACAAAATTAAAATATTGGATATCATGAATATTTTGCAGTTGTTTATAGATTAGAAAGATTGAGAATATATCGTCGTAATATTAAGTAAGTAATTTAATAATTTTTAAATAGTCTAATTAATATTAGCATTATTGTTCTAGATAAAATGATGCAAGGAGTTCCTTTTGAAAAAGCATCAGAAAAAACAGAATATGATTTAGATTTTTACGAAACAAACAGATACATATTAAGAAAATATTTTGAATAAATGAGATGGGCATTATATAACTTAAAATGAGATTATTTAGTAAATTAAAAAATATACACATAAAAATCGATGAAATAATTTTAATCTAAGATTTTTTTATTTTTCCTCAATCATTCATCAAATATAGAATATGGTAACTTGAATCTCAATAACAAATATATATATTTGATAACAATTAAATATACTCATAAAATGATAATAAATGTTTATTACTTAGATCAACATTAAAAACTACAGAAAATATCATAAATTTAAATTAATATCTTTCCTGATTGAAATATGACAATCCATAATTCACAATGCTCAATCATTTAATATAGTGATTTATAATTTAAATTTTTATATGAATTATAATTTCTAGTTTAAAATTGAATAATGAAAACAATTTAAAATGATTTTCCAAAAATTGACTAAATACTTACTTAATTTACTTATAATTATCTCTGTGAATTTAAATAAAGTCAATTTTTTCAATTATATTATAAAATTTAATGATATAAATTTAAATCTTATATTTATACAGAACTTAAAAATCTTCTTGAAAATTTAATGTCTTATTAAAATGTTTGCGAATTAGTCTTTTTTTTAGATAGTAAATATTTATATATAAAGCCTTTAGGAACAACATATTTTTGAGATTTGATTGTTTGTAAATAATATAAATATTATAAATAAATTATGAATAATTCAATAAAATATGATGAATAATAAAATTCGAAGAGGTTTGATACTCAATTTAATAAATAGACCTAAGCTCTATTTAGAAGACAAGTATCTTAACAAGAATTTAATAATACTTGGAAAGTTTATGGATTCAATATAATTTTAATAGTTCTTAAATTTATAAAAGCAATAACAAAATAGAAATTTACAAATTCGTTGAAATAGCTTAATCATAAATTTTTTAAGTTGCTAAAAGATAATACAGCTGATTATCATTATTATTAGTATAGAGGGTATTTGAAAAAAGTTAATCTTGAATGTTATATGAGTTCATTGAATAATAAATTCAATTTTTTGTAATGTAGTAAGTTTCATTAATATAGATTTTAGAAGAAATTGCGTAAAGAGAATCCTATAAGCTTTTTTATTGGAACCAGATGACACAATAATAATAATTTGGAATATTTATTTTTTATGGATAGTAACAATAAATGTTTTGTTTGTATCTTTGAGATTATCTTTTGAAGAGATAGTTGAGATGGATTGGAACTTAAAAGATTTCATTTTTGAATAATTACCAACTTATTCATTTTTATTAGAGATTATAATAAAGTTTAATACTTGTATTTACAGTAGAGGCGTATTAATAAAAAATAGAAAAAGATTAATAAAGAGATATATTAGAAGAGAATTTTTAATAGATATGGTTTTAATAATTCCCTTTTTTATAGGAAGACAATTAGATTTTATATATTTAGATTTAATAATTATATTAAAAATGTTTTAAATATCTAAATTAACTTACTCATTATTTAATCGTTTAGAATTAACTTAGCAATAAACAGCTATTTTTGAATTAGTTAAATTGATGTAAATTATTTATAATAACAAAATAGTTTTTTTATTTTATTATGTGCACATTTTTCAGCTTGTATTTGGCATAAATTAGGAATTTGGGGGAACTGGGGAAATGTAACTTCAATTACTTGGTTGAAAAATTAATAACTTTAAGATTCCTTATGGATAGATAGATATATCGTTTCATTTTATTGGAGTATAGTCACTATGACAACTATTGGTTATGGTGATATCACTCCAGTAAATTTAACAGAAAGACTGTTTTGTATTGTTATGACTTTGATATCAACTGCTACGTTTGCTTATTCTGTTAATAGTATTGGATAGATTTTTAAAGATATGTCTAAATAATCTGTTTAATTTAAAACTAATATGAATAGTTTAAATAAATTCTTAAAAAATTAGAAAATATCACCTGCTTTGTAAATTCAATTTAGAAGATATTTTGAATATTTTTGGAGCAAACCATCTTAAGAAGTAATCTAATTTCAAGATTAGATTCCTAAATAATTGAAGGATTTAATGATTGTAGAGATTAATATGAAAATGCTTAAACAATTAGATTTATTCAAATAATTTAGCAATTCTTTACTTAATACACTTTGTTTGGAATTCTAAGAATAATAGTTGTAACCAGATGAATATTTATTTAAATTAAATTATAGAGCTGATAAATTATATATTTTAGTAAATGGACAAATAGATTTATTTGTTTGGATAAATAAAAAAAAAAGAATCTTTGAGAAAATAAAGAATCCTGGTTTAATAGGATAATTGAATTTTTTTCTAAATACTTAATACAATTATGAAGCAATAGCAACTAAAAATAGTAAAATATTAATTATAGATCGGTAATCCTTAATTAAAAACATAAAATAGAGTGAAATTGACTATGTATTATATTATTATTATAAAAAAAGGAAATATATAAAAACTTTGAGGATGATATAAAAATTAAGCAATAACTTGATAAAATTTAAGTTTAATGTTCAGTTTGTTGTAAATCGAATCATTTAGTTCTTTAATGTCCACTTTTTATAGGTTGTATTAATAGAACAAAAGTTTTATATCATTTAAGACATAATATTCTTCAATATAGAAGTTTTTAATTCAGAAACAATTAAGATAGAAGAATATCAACTAAAAAACATCATTATCATGTAATGGAAAGTTTATTAATTTATATTATGAAAAATGATGAGCTTTGTAATCTGGAAGGAATCAAAAAATGTAAAATATTAAAATTAAACTAGAATTTTAAGCAGTTCTTAAATAATAATAATAATATGAAGAAAAAATGACTTAAACTTAATCTAATTAATTATCTAATTAAATATCTTTATCATAAAATATGCCAGCATCAATAATTTGTAAATCTAATCAATCTCTACATAATAATTAATAAATATAAAATCAGAATTTATAAAAGAATAATCCTTAATTATCAAGACTAGAAGTACTTTCAGAAAAGTAAAATTAATTTGGAATTTTAAGTTAATCTTAAGATATAAGACTTATAACAGCATTAAATAATTAAAAAATATAACCAATATTAGAAGAACCATAAACAAAAGAAGAAAGAACTGATAAATTATCTGTTAACCTTAGTTAATAATTAGCTTAAGTTTAAAAATAAGAAAATTCAATCTTACCAGATACAAAAGAACCTTAATCGATTCAATTTAAAATCCACTCAATTAGATAAAAATTTGAAAAATAACATACAGATCTTGATGTTTAAAAAAATAGATAAAAATAATTTAAACGATTGGTTACTGAAAAAGAAGATAATTCTGAAAGATTTTCTAAATAATTTGGATTTAATAATAAAAGTCATATTAATTCATAATGGAAAAAGGATCAATAAGGACAAAATAACACAATTAGGAAGTAGAGTGCATATGATTAAATAAATTAAATGGAAAAACTTCAAGAAAATGTCTTTAACAAATAATTTAAATTAGAAGAAACTCCTTCGGCTTTAGAAAATTCAATGAGTTATTCAATTAAAAATAACATCCTAAAACCAAACATTGAAATTTACTAAGTGAATGAATATAATAATGAATAGAATTTTAATTAAGAAAAAGACTTAACAAATTTATATTTAGAGGATCAACTTTTGAAAAATAAATAAAGATTTTTTGATAAGTAAATTTCATTTTAAGAACCTATTTAAAATTAAATTGGGCATTTTCCATTATAAGATTTTAAAGCTCTAGAATAAAGCATGATAACATAGTATGATAAAATTAAATTGAAGGAAGAATTGTTACAATAATAATTTGATAGATAATAAACAATAGTTACTAAAAATAAAGAAAGTAAAGAAAGTAAAGAAACTAAGGAAGGTAGAGAAGTAATTAATCCAAAAACATTTCGAGGCCTACCTATTAAAGTTAATTCAGATGATTCATCAGATGAAGATATTAATGGATAAAAACTAATTAGAGGTTAATATATTGAAATCTTTAGACATTTTGAAAAAGTCAAAGAATTTCAGGCTTTCTACCCAAAAAATAATATCTCGTAAATTATCTTGTAGGTATTCATATTTTCTATTTCTAGTTATAACAATTTGATTTTAATTTATAGTAGAATTTTATGAGGAGAAGAAAAGTTAAAAAATAAGATGCTATTATCAATCTACTCAAAAAAGCATAGCATCTAATTCGCAAAAGTTAATAATGATTGAAATATAATATATTCTCATTTTATTATTATTTATGTGTCTTGTTTTTTTTTATTATCAAATAATCTTTGAACTAATGAAGAATGTATATTTAAATTAGAATAGTTTGAAGATCTTTTATATTTTATGTTAAATTTACAAATAATTAACTTTTAGCATCTGAAAATTTTTCAAAACTTTCAACTATTAATTTTATAAATGAAAATAGAAAAAACAGATTTATTGTTTTTGCATGATATTTATTGATGAGAAACATCCTATTTCAAAATTCTAAATTAATTATTTCTATTTTTCAAATACATATATGAAAAAAATCTATTATTAACATATTTGTGATTTAAAAATTCATTCTCTTTATCGAATAAATATTTCTGCTATGAGTTTTTTAAAAGTTTCTCAAAATTTTCATAATATATAGATTTTTCATTACATTTTTTGAACCATTTATTGCCCCTACTACTTTCTGATCAAAAGAAGTTTTATAATTGTGATCAAGGATTCATTTAGAATTATCGAAAAAATTTTTTAATTGTATTTATATTAATAAAAGGTAAAAAATCATGATATTTAGCTACTTATTTAAAGACTTACAAAAAATAATAAAATTATGATATAACAAAGTTACTTAATCATAGGAGCATTAATTCTATAATATAAATCAAAATAATTATTTAATAATGTTCTTGATAAACATTTAAGTTAATAAAATTAACAATTTGATAAATAAAATTATTCTAAAGTTTTATTAAACTTGAAAAGTACATCTTATAAATGACTTAAAGTAAATAATTTATATATAATTATATATTGCTAGAGCTGAATTTTTGATAAATTAATAAAATTTACATCTAGTTAATTTTTATTTCTAACTAAATATTTAAGGTTAAATCATAAGTTTTAATCTTCGTTGTGCTAGACATTTACTAGAAATACTCTTTATAGAAATTTTCTAAAAATAAGAATGTCTTTAGTAAATATTAATTTAAATTATTTTTTTATCATTAATTAAGTTTCTTAATGGCATTTTCATCATCAGCTAGATACTTTTTTTTTTTTTTAAATTAGTTTTATATATATTACCTTTTCCAAGGATTTAAATTTATAATTGTAATACAATTTATTGCCAGAAATCTATGAGAAATATAATCAATAAATTAGTAAAGCTTTTCTTATCATAAAGAAATGCTCATCTTCTTGAAATTATAAATACATACGCAATTTAGCAAATAAGAATCGAATAAAAAGAATGGAATGAAAAACGAATATTATTTTATAATTAACTTATGATAATAAATAAAGAAAGAAAAGAAATTGTTTTTGGTTTATTTAGTAAAACTTATAGGGGATATTAAGAATTGTATATAAAGTTTTAATAAGTAATTTAATGATGGTTTTATATCAATTAAAAAGAAGCAATCATCTTTTGTTTGAGAAAATATTTTTTTTTATTTTTTATGTTCTAAAATACTAAGTTTAGTTGATAAGAATTAATATATAAGGTAATAGAGTAGCTAATTTAAGAATATGTATATATTAAATATTTTAGTAATTATATTGAAATATATTCATAATACGTCTTTTAATTTAATATGATGCTCGATGTTAGTTAATAAAGAATTTAAAAAATAATTTTATTAATATTTCATTTAACATTCGTGAAAATAAAATTAAACATATATATTTATTGTTATTCCCTTAGCTTAAATTACTGATATATAAGCATAAAGATGATTGATTAGATCAGTTAGAGTTAGGTGGGAATAATTTGTATTTTTTAATAATTATATTATAAATATAAATTTATGCAGTACTAATAAGTAAAAGATTAATGAATAATAGAAAACATAAAAAAATGAATGAATAATTTATTATTTAGACTTTGATAGGCGGCAGTCTTGGATGAAAGGAGGCTAAAGAATTTGATATATGTATATATTATTAATGGTTATCTTTTGAAATTAAATTCATAAAATACTGTAATAGAAAGTTTATTATAAAAAGAAAAGTATCCTAATATGTCTTTTTAAATAATTTATATTAATGTTTAGATTTAGCTTAGGATTAGTGCTTAGTTTGTATAATATAGTGTTTATAAATGGTGTGTCTGAAGTGATATCAACATCATTTTCAGATAATAGTTTTTAAGAGGCAGATGGTATTAATAATTGAATAAATAAAAGATTGGATAATAGTAGGTGGATAGGCATAGTTTACAGAATGTATGGGACAAGATTATTTGGAGGATATAATGGATATGGGAGAAATATAGCAATAACAAAAATATTTTCTCTTCCACCTCATTATGAAATAAATTTACAAGTGTAATTTTGTAAGTAAAAGAAAATAATATATTATAGGATTGATGAATGGGATGGAGAATTTGCATATCTTTTAGTTGATTTTAAAGTAGCTTGGACTAAAAGTTACACAGCTATTAATGGAATATAATAATGTGGATAAGAAGGGAATATGAATGAAGTAACAGAGAATTTAAACTTAAATGTTTAGCATAGTGGACCTACAGCTGTAGTTGTATTTACAACTAATTTAGATTAAGATGCAAGCAATGTAAAATATAGAATAATATACTTAAAAAGGAATCTTGGGGTTTTAGAGATTTCATATTATCAGTTTAGAAATGTCCAGAAGGATGTTTAATTTGTAAAGTTAATGATACTATATTAAAATGTTATGTTTGGAAATTAATATCTACAAGTTGGATATCTTAGGATATAAATGGAATATAGATAGATGGTTGGAATGTTGTCTCTGGGATTCCAGAAGCATCAATGTGTGGAGGTTAAGAATATCTACATATGTTTTAGCTGCTCCTATATTTGGAGGATTTAATAAAACTGGATCAGGAACTATTATTAGTAAGACAGTTTATGATATTCCACCACATTATAAATTGACATTCTAAGTATTATTCATTAAAATTGATTCATGGGATAATGAAATTGCTAAAATTTTAATTGATGATAATATTATTTGGCAAAGAAATTTTTATGCTTTTGAAGGTTATGCAGTTAAAATATGTGGTGATTCTAATCCTATATATAAAACTATGTTTGGTAGAATTGAATATGAAGTATAACACAATGGAAATTAAGCAGAAATTAAATTTTTAAATGAACTTAATGAACCTTTTTGGGGAGAGTCATTTGGATTAAGAGATTTTGTTTTATATTATGGTTCATGTACTGATAATTGCGCCTAATGTACAGGACCTAGTGGATCTGAATGTTAAAGTTAATATTTATATTTAATTTTTAGTGTGTTCAAAAGGATCGTATAATACTGGAGTTAGTGATAAAATTTGTCAATGTAATTTTTATTTATTTACTATTATTAGTATGTTATCGATCATGTTATTAATGTAATGGACCTACTAATGAAGATTGTACTGATTGTGGAGATATCAATATATATTATAAATAACTTATAGCAGGATAATGTATATGTACTATTTAAACAATTGAATACACATAAGATGATGGAACAACACTTTGTTTACGTAATTTTATATCATTTATTATACATTTATAGCTTGTCATCCAAGATGTTGGAAATGTTATTAACCATTTGATAATACAGATAATTAATATTGTACTATGTGCATAGCAGGATAAAATAGAATAGTTTCTGATGAACTTAAATGTGTTTGTCGAACAGGTTATGGAAATGATGGCATTTCTGATTATTGCTTTAGTAAATATGATCATCTATTAATATAGAATGTCATTATACATGTTAAGATTGTAAAGGACCATTAGTTACTGATTGCACTTTATGTTCACCCTATTCTAATCGTCATTTAAGTGTAGATAATTAATGTTTATGTAATAAATCATATATGGATACAGGTATTGATGATGTAATTTGTTTATGTAATCATATTATCAATAATCTATAGACATATGTGATTATTCATGTTCTGATTGTGATGTGCCTGGAGAAGATAAATGCACAAGTTGTCCATCTACTAGATCACCTGATAGATAAGAAACTACTTTTAAGTGCTTATGCAAAGATTCACATTATTTTAGTGATAATTACCAATTAGAATGTTTAGAATGTCATTCTACTTGTTTAACTTGTAATGGCATCTATGAAAATAATTGTCTAACTTGTGATCTTACTTATAGATAATTAGTAATGTTTAAATGCATCTGTCCTTATGGATATTATGATGTTGGTGATATACAATGTTCTCGTAAAAATATTCATAAAAATAATAGCATGTTATTATACTTGTATGACTTGCTATGGTCCAGAAGAAGATTAATGCATTACATGTGCTATTAGTAACAACAGAGAAATTAAAGCTAATAAGTGTGTATGTCTTGATAAATATATGGAAAAAGAAGTTGGAGATATTATGTGCTACTGTAATAAATCTTATGTTATTCAATAGAATGTTCATATCGATGTGCAGAATGCAGTGGTACAATAGATAATTGTATATCATGTCCTGCTTTTTCTTTCAGAGATCTTGGAATTGACAATAAATGTTCTTGTCCACCAAAGTCATTTGATCAAATTGACAATCCAATTTGCATATGTTTTTAATAAATTCATAATAGTTTGTCATAATACTTGTTTAACATGTAATGGAAAAGAATCAAATTAATGTGTTTCCTGTAATGCTTTGAGTATGAGATAATTAGACTCTTAAGGCTCATGCTTATGTATGAGTAAATACTTTGATGTTGGATTATCTGAATGTTAAGGTATTCATCAAATTCAAATTTTAAGCATGCAGTTCCCTTTGTTTGGATTGTGTTAATACTGCTCAAAATTGTATTTCTTGTAAACCAGATAGATACTTACAAGAAAATACTTGTGTATGTCAATCAAAATTGTTTGGAGCAACTATTAGTACTTATTAAGTTTAAGGTAAAACTAAAATTGAATGTCAAAGTAATCTATAATCATCTATTTAATTTAGATTGTCATTACTCTTGTTTAAATTGTAATGGAATTACATCTACAAAAT